AATGGTTGAGCAATCCTAGAGAAATTCTCAATGAAGCGTCTGTAGTACCCAGCTAATCCTAGGAATTGTCGTATTTCTGTCGGGGTTTTGGGGGCCTCCCATTTCTTGATTGCCTCTATCTTAGCTGGATCTACATGGATTCCTCTTTCACCGATCACATGACCAAGAAAATGTACTTCCCGAATCCAAAATTCACACTTAGTGAACTTGGCATACAATTTTTGTTCCTTCAACAGCTCCAACACTAGCTTTAGATGTCTATTGTGATCTTCTTTGGTCCGCGAGTAAACAAGTATGTCATCGATAAAGACAATTATAAACCTGTCTAGGTATGGTCTACAGACCCTATTCATCAAATCCATGAATACAGCGGGTGCGTTCGTTAGTCCAAAAGGCATGACTAAGAATTCATAATGTCCATAACGGGTTCTAAACGCTGTCTTGTGAATGTCCTCTTCGTGAATTCTTAGCTGATGATACCTGACCGAAGGTCGATTTTGAGAAGTAGGAAGCGCCCTGCAACTGATCGAACAAGTCATCTATTCTAGGGAGGGGATATCGATTCTTGATTGTCAACTTGTTCAATTCTCTGTAATCAATGCACATTCGGAACGAACCATCTTTCTTTTTGACGAATAACACTGGGGCTCCCCAAGGTGAAGAACTTGGTCGAATAAACCCTTTGTCTAGAAGTTCTTGAAGTTGTCCGGATAGTTCTTGCATCTCGGATGGTGCAAGGCGATATGGTGCTTTTGCTACCGGTGCCGCTCCGGGAACTAAGTCTATCCGAAATTCGACCTGTCTATAAGGGGGTAGACCGGGCAATTCCTCCGGAAATACTTCGGGATAGTTTTGAACCACTGGAATCTCCTTGAGTTGCTTAGCTTCAGGTTCTCTTTCTAGCACGTGGGCCATGAATGCAATACAATTCTTCTTCAGGTACTTGTGAACCTTCACGCTTGATACTATGTTTAAACTTCTTCCTGGCTTCTCACCGTGTATGATAAGGGTTTCTCCATTAGGGAGAGGCACTCTGATGACTTTCTCATAACAACAATGTCTGCTCTATTTTTGGATAACCAATCCATCCCTACTATCACATCAAAACTACCTAGCTCTATAGGAATTAGGTCAATGCTAAAGAGTTTATCAGCTAAATTCAGAGTACAACCAGGAATTATATCACTAGCCCTAATTTCATACCCATCAGCAAGTTCAATAGCATATGCAATCCTCATCTTTACCGATTTCAAGCCAATTAACGGTCTAAATGCTAAAGAAACAAAACTCCTATCTGCTCCCGCATCGAATATTACTGATGCAAAGTGGTTGTTCAGGAGGAACGTACCTGTTATCACTTCAGGGTTCTGACGAGCTTCTTCTGCACCAATCACAAAGGCTACACCTCTTGGTGTCTAACTTGATTTCCTTGAAAGTTTTGCCTGGCTTGGCCTTGTCCATGGTTACCAGGTCCATTGTTCAGTTTAGGACATGCTCTACGGAGATGATCAATACTCCCGCACTCGTAACATGTCCTTTTTCCCTCCTTATTCACCTTACAATACTTCGAGTAATGGCCTGTTTGCTTACAGTTTTGGCACACCGGGCAAGCTCCCTTGTGATGGAAGTTACACTTATTGCACTTCGGAAGCGGCCCTGAGTACTGCTTTCGCTCCTGCACTTCTTGTCCTTGAGTTTTCACTGGTTCTTGCTCCTGGGCTCTTACCATAAAGTTTTCTTGAGACTTTCTGCTTCCTCCTGACTTGCCTCATACTTCTTCTCTCCCTGATCTGCTGGCTTCCTCTTGCTACTAGAGCTTTCCATTGTCGATGCTCCCATCCTTATCACATCACAATCAATAATAGCCAACCAAACATATAATATGCTGTCATCGCATGACCTGCCTCTTCGTAGCAGCACTAGCAGTGTCAGCAGTCTCCATCGAATGCTGATACAGGATTTCCATTCCTGCCAAGACTTCATCCAAAACTTCTCGATGCCCAGCTATCGCAGCGAGACTGTGACGTAGGCCTGCTGCTATCGACTGCAATCTCCGGACTCCTC